AAATATCTTTCCTTGAACTAATTATAGGATGTGTTTCTCAATAATCCCTCATTTTGCTTACAGGTTGCTTTCAGAGAAGACCAGAAGCAATCGCCCAATTCCAGTACAGACTGTTGCATCATAAGAACTTTCTCTAAGAAACCAGACCATAATTTCCACTTATGAGATCACTCATTAGCTTGCAATTAGCTTTTGCCTAAAGGTAAAAGGACTGTGTGGTTACAGGCAACATTTCTCTCCTTGGGTGCTTTCAGGATTTCACAGAGTCAGGGAGAAATATTCCCCTATCCTCCTACAAGCACCAGTAACAAGTCAGCTCTCATACATCTGTTCTCAGAAGCCAAAGGCATGGCACAGGTAAGGATGGAACAACACTTGGAGAAATTACATCAGTTACTAAGCTACAAAGCTTTGCCAGGTGTTAAACAAGCAGTTTCCTTCTTGGCAGTGGCCCTTATTCATCTGCTAAATGATTTTGGCTAATCCTCTCAGAATTACTTGCATTTTCTGCAACTTGTGCCTGTTCCAGCTTGTATCACTGTTCAGTCAGTACCAGGCTACATTACCTATGTTACTCAGCCAGTGCTGGAGGTTGGCAAATGAAGCAGAAGAGTTGGCAAGCCTATCAATCACTTCAGCATAACATCCAGATTGTCACATCCACTTGGTTCACAACTTAAATCAATGTCACACTTTGGGGCCACCACACAGAAGTACTTCTTCTGTGTCAAAAGGTTCCAGCTCAGCATCTCCCTCCATGCCTCAGCCAGCACCCTACTTCAACCCACCATCTCATTAACAGCATCTCACAATCCTTCTCTAGATAATCAGTTCCCAGGTCTTTTCTGTCCTAAATCCCAGACTTTTGCAGGGGGGTTGGAACTAGATGATCTTAAGGTCCTTTCCAACCCTAACTATTCTAGGATTCTATGAAAGTATACAGGGGCACTGTGGTTACAAGCCATTGCTGAACTGATCACTGAAACCAGCTGGGTTTTCTAGTACTATTACATGGCTGCTCTGCCACCAGAACTGCTGCCCTGATCATCCTCCAGCTGCACCATTCCTGATGGTCAAACAGCTGCCCACAGAATTCAGAGCAAGGTTTATGGCAAGAACAAAAAAAAACAACAAAAAAACAAAACACAAAACCACAAACACACCAAGGAAACATCTGCACACAACACAGACCCCAGGCTCATGCAAAGAACCTCTACCCACAGGATTTTCCCCTCCTGCCACCCCAGCTGTCCTAACCAGGAGAGCTGTTCACAGGGGAATATCTTTAATATACCATAACAAGACTATTTCCAGGGTTAACATAGCATTTGCAAAAAACACTACTTTTTTAACTCACTTTAAAGGGAGAATTTTAGTGCTCTAAGAGCACAAAGTCTTCAAGAGTAGTATTTAGGCCCTCTCATCCCCACCCCTTGTGCACTGGAAAAAAATAACTTGAGTCAATTTACTTTGGGACACAAAGTCCTGTTATTCTACAGGCACTGGGAACATTTGGTTACTTGCCTACTTGATTAACTTGCATTGCAGGCTGAGCTAACTTGCTTAGGAAATAAGCTCACGCATGACAAAAGCTGAATGACAGAGACATTGCCAAGAAGTTCAGAGTTTTGGCATTTCATCAGGGAGTTTAATTACATCACAAGCCTTCATTATTTCAGGTAGGTTAGTGTGTTAAAGAGTTATTAGTATTTCAGTTCTTCAGGAAGCAATTCTTCATAGCAAAGCCTTATTCAGTTAATTGGTTTAATCTCTGAAAAGCAAGTCTTAAATAATTCCTTTGTCAGATTATAATGGCCAGTAGGCAGATCAATTTTTACATTTGAAAAAGTTCAAAGAAAAAAATTGTTAACTTCCTAAACTTACATTTAAACCAGAACCTAAAAAAAAAAAGTGGTGTCAAATATCAAATAGATATTTTAAATGCTGATCCATGTGGTGACTGAAACATTTTACTCCATCTGAATTGCACAGATGGGAACAGATCTCCCATTTAGTGTACCAAGAACAATCCTTCCAGAGGCTCAGTGTAAACATTTCTGTTCAAGCAGAATCCTCTCAATCCAGAGGAAAAAAAAAAAGTTATTTCAACTAAACAGCACTGGAGTAAGCTAAATGAAAGGTCACATACCCCAGCTAGACAAATCTGAAACACTGCTGCAGTTGGATACTGCTTCCTAAAACAAGACCTACCTTGCTCCTTTTTTATGCACAAGCTTAAACTTCAGTAGCAAAATAACAAAAGCACGTGGCTGACAAGAGAGCTCAACATTCACATGCAATTCAGATGCAGTTTGGTATTTCAGCTCTGATTCCATTGCACCAGCAGCAGTAGGCAGGAGAACAGCACCAGCACCTTCCCCAGGCAGAGCTACCACAGCAGAAAATGGGACTTGGCTAAGATTAAACAGCCTTCTCAAAGAAGCAGTTCTACTTTTAAGTAGCATTTTCCTTATAGGCTTATTAGCCATTAGTCTGCATTTTGCTAGTAGATGTGCAGCTTGGACGGTATTTGATAGTCTGAGGAATGGCATCCACACCTCTTGACAAATACAATACCTATTAGGTTTCAGCACCTTCATTGATCTCAGCTGCCTCTGGAGAAGAATCCCTTCACTATGCTGAAAGCTCAGGGCTAGTCAATACACAGCTTCTGAGACACATGCATCCTACACATGAAAATAAATATGCTCTGAATACATTCTTACAATACACAGTATATACACCCTGCTGTATATACTCAATATTATATACACTGTGTATAACATTACTTTGTATTATACCCACAGAGTGAAAGAAAACAGACTGAATCACAGCAAAGTACTAGTAAATACCCTGTTCCCTTCTGGAGAAATGCCTGTGGCAACAAAAATTAAGAGCCTTTCACTCTTTTACAGAGACAGAAGAGCAACTGGAGCGCCTGGTGAAGCTTGTGACAAGAAGGGTTTCCTAAGGGCTGGGAAGGCATGAAAATGAAATGGTAAGCTGTGCTTTTCTTGTTCCACAAAGCAGCTGAAGTTTGGAGGCAGAGGATGTTTTCTATTAGTAATTAAATGAAATTATCTTGAAAGCAAACTATGACTACGTATACGCAATTAGTTTTGTCCACATGAAAACACAAGCAGGAAGTATGGGTGTTTGTGACTGAAGCACCATCTCATTACGACCATTGAGAAACCTCAGATCTACAGCCAAGAGATACAATCCACACCAAGACTAGATAACAAAATAAGACAGGGTTTCTAACCCATCTCAGTTTCATATCCAAGTTCCCTTCACAGATGAGGGAGCTGTGAAGCAGGGCATAAATTATGCCAGAGAAAAGGTCTTTGGTTTTTGCTTTGGCATTCTAACAAAGCATTTGGAATTTCTCCCTCTCTCACTTCATTAGGGAGACTGCTCTGTGGACGGTTGCCTGCTTACTGTTTGCATCTCTACCAAGAGGTAAATATACTATAACAACACATCTAGAAGGTGTTTATATGTGAATACACAAACTGAGAATGTTGAACAAATGTATGCTTTGTTTTGAACATATTTCATCACAGTCCAAGGTTTGCTTACAGGTAATAAGCTTCAGATAAACCTCTACCTGAAAGAAGTGGTTTCAAGGTTGAGGTGTTCCAGGTCCACAAATCTTAACCTATGAAGTTTATCCTGCCCACATTTTTAAAAATACCCTAGCATTTCCACAATGTTAAGAAAGACTTGGAATCTCATCATTTATAATGATACAAGGCAGTTAGCTGGTAAAGCGCTGGGTTTGCTATAGGCATAACCAAGTAAGTGAAAGGACCGGATCCCAGCAGCAACCTCTCTGCCTGAATCTTTGCACATGCTCCACAGAGTTGTAGCTGCACTGGGTTTCTGACATTATGTAGAAAAAGGTACACTAGTATGTACAGGTGAGGGAGTTTCTACAAGCCTCAGAGCAACTCCCTGTAATTTCCTTATCTGAGGCTTACATTCAGCAATATTAAGTCTTCTGTGTGTGGTTAAAACACTCATTGCTCATAAACATCTCAAGTTCACCAAGCACTGCAGTGGTTCAGGAGGTTACACTTCCTCTGGAACTAGTCTCTCTCTCTTCCGGGAGCACAACTGACATTTTTAGGGAAAACATTCATGTGTCTCCACAGATCAGTGTGACGAGTCTATTGCCACTCAAGACATGCCCTTTTGGTAGCTAAGTGCAACTGCAAGCATTTAAGTGACTACCCTTTGACTCCTTTTCTCCCTCTCCCTAAAATAGGGGAGCTCAAGTTCAGTGTTTCTGAGCAAGTAACTGGGATTGCAAACAGCCCCCTACCCTCCCTAAAATACTTTTGCATGTGGGTGAGACATAAGGTGGTGAGAAGCCACAGAACACTGCCTTGTCAGGTTAATATATTCCAGTTTAAACTCCTAAGTACTCAGAGATACAAGAAATTACCTGTTACCTTGTTTCTAACACCAGAACATTTTCCTGCTTAACCCATTACTTCCACTACTAAATTACTTTACTAATGTCAGAACTGCACTGGAATCACCAGAGTGATCTACAGACACATACCCAAGAGCTTTCCACTTCCAAGCCTTTTTCCACAAGGCATAAACCCTAGATCACCTACTGGCATCCCAGATTCCTCTGGTACAAGCAACATATAATTAATAAATAAACATGATTGCCCTAGATCATCTTGGGGGGAAAGGAGGGAAAAACAAAAAAGCCCAGTCATTCCAAGTTCCCTTGCACCACACTTTAGACACCAAACAGCAGTATTTCCTTGTTATAGGAATCTTACAGGCTGATTAAGCTGGCACACTCAACTTCACCTTGAGAGCCTTAAACATTTGGACAATATTTAAAGTGCATAATTAAAAAAATAAAACCAGAAAACAAACTCATCTCACATTTCATTTTTACAACCACAATAAAAGCCATGAGCCAATACACATTTTTTCCAAGGTAAAACACTGCACCTTCCACATGCAAAGCTTACCAGGTAGATCAGATGAGCACTACTCATCCTGCTTCATACACCCCAGCAGCAACTGCCACCATCCTTGCTGTATAACTGCTTCTGCTGCCTGGCCAAGCAACTCTCTGCTACCATACCTCCCTGGCACATCGATAGCCTCAGCAAGAAGCTTAACACAACATCAGCAACCTTCAGCATTACTTTATACTTCTTCCCAGAACTGGCGTCCATAAGGACATGTACTTGACTTGTACCCAGAAGTCTGTTCTTCCCATCAACAAAAAACCTCATTCAGCTGTAGGCTCTGTTAAATAACTCATTACAGCCAGATTCCAGTCACCTGTTCTTGCCCCAGGCAACTTCAGCTGTGCTCCGTTTTGTGCCTCCTGATGCCCTGGTTTTACCAGCTGAAGGCAGTGTAGGTTTAACCTCAGGGGTATTAATAGTCATCATAAGTGTTACAACATTTGTACACAGTATCATACAGGAAGGGAAGGGTTATTTTGGGCACCACTCTTCTCCATCTTCTCAAAAAGAACAAAGAGTCAAAAAGCAAATAGATACACTTCTAAACGCAGTATCAAATTCAGAAATTACTGTGATCAGGAGATAGGATAAACTCTCTCTCTCTTTTGGTCATTAGGCAAATGCTTATTGTCCATTTTTCTAAATAAAGCCACAAGTTTTGTGGATTTCAGGATGATCTTTTCTTCACCCACATGCAACTCCACACAATGCAAGCACTTTCTCTCCTGAGGGCATCCTGTGAACAGGACTCTTCCCACTAGAAAGCTCTTTGGGAGGATCACTTCTTCCAGAGCTTTCAAAACACTTGCAGCAGCCTCAGGCTCCCTCACCTCCCTGCTGTGGCTAGCTAACCATGGCCAGCCATAACTGCAATCTGCTTTCAGACATGGCATTGTTTCAGAAGGACTCTGCTGAGCCCAGCCTTCCTCAGCTCCCCAGGCCCAAACAGCTCAGGGATGGCTCTCGGGCTGCTCCCTGCTCTCCTTCAGGTGGTGGTGGCCCTTTTAGGTGTGCCAGTTACAGCTAACAGCCTGGGTATGCTACTAATTGCAGGGCTGAAGCAGTCTCCTTGGGGAGCACAGTCATATGTGCTGTGGCAGTGAGGGTACAGTACAGTGGAGGCCAAGCTTTACTATAAATAAAATAAGACCCCTGTTTGGATATTGTTGTAATTCAGGTTCCTCTTGAGAAGCAAAACCTGGTCAGCAACTGATACAGTCTGAAAACAGTTGAGCTCTCTACACAGTAAGAGAAATCTTCTACCAACCACCAGAAATACTTGGTTCTCTGTATCTGATGGACAATTGGTTTACTATTTTCAATACATCACCATGGGGATGTGATTTTTCAGCTGAAAGTTTATATTGTTAGGCAAAAGCAGATGGTGATTTTCAGCTGAAAAATCTGAAAACCAAAGGAAAGCAGATGTTCGGTGATATAATTGAAGACATTTGAGTCCACAATTTAGCTTTCTCAATTATACTTTTCCTTCTGCTTTTATGTCTGTCTGGATGGACACAATGTGACACCAGACAAGCCTCAAAACAGACACTGATTAATATAGAAACAGAGATGCTGGTATGTAACAAGCTGAGCCCTGGCTGGTGTCAGTGGCTGCAAAAGGGAACTGAGACTCTCTTCGATCTTTAGCCCAACATATGCACAGGCCTGGAACACAGGAATTACTACGCTGTGACTGAGAACATTTGTTTTTCTCACCCAAGTGTAAGGTACTGCACCTGGGGAGGAAGAACCCCAAGTACCAGTATAGGTTGGAGGCTGACCTAATGGTCAGCTCAGGTGAGAAGGACCTGGCAGTATTGGTGGGTGACAAGTTGACTATGGGCCGGCAGTGTGCCCCTGCAGCCAGGAGGGACAATAGCATCCTTGGGTGCATCGGTAGGAGTGTTGCCAGCAGGGCGAGGGAGGTGATCCTCTCCCTTTACGTGACCCTGGTGAGGCCACATCTGGAGAACTGTGTTCAGTGCTGGGCTCCTCAGTCCTACTGCTGGAGCTACTGGAGAGGGAGGGTCCAGCGGAGGCCACAAGGATGATCAGGGGTCTGGAGCATCTCTCTTGGGAGGAGAAATTGTGGGAGCCTGGCCTGTTTAGTCTAGAGAAGAACAGACTAAGAGGGGAATCTCGTTAGTGCATATAAATATCCCAAAGGTGGGTGCCACGAGAATGGTGTCAGACTCGTTTCAGTGGTGCCCAGCAACAAGATGTGAAATATGAGCTCGCTCTTCTAAACAAGATAACAAGGTTTTATTGAGGGACAAAGTCAATAAAGCAAAAGCAACAGCACTGGGTGCATGACTGTAGCCAGAGGTGCAAGTGATTAGTATTGGTACAGGTTTATATACTTTCACTATTGCAGTAGTCACATACATGTTCATAGTTCCTGTGTATAGGCGGGGAATATTATAACTAGCTCCAGGAACTTATTATCATAAGTCTCCTCTTCTTGGCGTCTGCGCACTGCTCTCCGGTGATTGTGGGCAGGGGTCTTGAGGATTTAAAAGATTTAAAACAGTGTGACCTTCCTGCAATATTTATTACGCTGTAACTGAGAACATTTGTTTTTCTCACCCAAGTGTAAGGTACTGCACCTGGGGAGGAAGAACCCCAGGTGCAGTATTTATTGCAGGATGGGCAGACAAGGAGTATCCCAAGCTAGCAGATGTTTGGGAGGCTCTGTCTCTAAACTAACTGACAAGTAGAAGAATGGTGTGAAATAACTCATTCGTATTTAGTGGGGCCACTAAATCCTGTTATCTCACCACAGACTTATAACACAAACATTGTTCTTTAAAGCTAAAGATACTTTAGAAGAATAGTGTGAAACAATTAGCTCATGTTTAGTGGGGCCACTAAATTCCACAGACTTACAACGTAAACATTGTTCTCTTTCTACAGCCTAAGTTAAGTTAAAAAGTACTTTATGTTTTCCAGGCACTAGCTTTTCTGATATCAAGTCCCCCCCTTCTTTCTTTTACCTTTACAAATTCTTCTGCTATGTGACTCCATTTTGCTCAAGAGTCCCAGCCCTTCTTTAACTTGTCTAATCCTGTGTCTTTAATGAGCTTTGTTTCCATTATTGTAAACTCACACAGTTATATACACATAACCACACCTATGATTTGCAAAAGCCAATGCGTTTATGTGTTTATCACAAAGACAAGGAGCAATGGCCACAAACTAAAACACAAGAAGTTTCACCTCAGCACGAGGAAGAGCTTCTTTATGTTGAGGGTGGCAGAGCACTGGGACAGGTGCCCACAGCAGTCATGGAGTCTCCCTCTCTGGAGACATTCAAAACGTGCCTGGACATGTTCCTGTGTCACCTGCTGTAGGTGGCCCTGCCTTGGCAGGGCTTGGACCAGATGATCTCCAGAGGTCCCTTTCAACCTTAATGATTTTGTGATACTGTAGTCTGATTACTTACCCCTTATGCTTCACAGAACTTTGGCCATGAAAAGAGATTGAGTTGTTTCAAAGTGAATTTTAGTTTTGCTCCTTGGCACAGTCACAGACTCGCGCTGCTTTTGTTCTGCTCCCTGCTGCGAATGAGTTTTCTATCCAAATTAATACATCTGCATTTTAATTTATAAAATATTTTTATGAAACAGGTTTGGTTAAAGTGTTAATTTAAGCCCACATTCTGTGCTGAAAACACCTATTTTTCTATGCTTTATAAATGCACAGAACCCTTCTTCTTCCATAATGCAGTCTTCCCCCAGAAAATATAACACCACAACCTAGTAAAAGTTGTCCTACATGACAGTGTCAGATTCCCCCATTTGTAGTTCTAGTATACTTTCAACTAACTTGGAATAATTTATAAAAATAATTAGTACCAGAGTTATTAAATGAACAGTGTGTATAAGTGAGATGCATTTGTCTTCCTGCCCTGCCTGCCTACCTTTGTTCACCAGCAGGCTACCCTAACCCTGGTTCTTGCTTCTGCTGGAATTGGTTGGTAAGATCTGTCCAGGCCACCCACCACCCGTACAAAGTATCTGTCTCCCTTGGAAAAGTCATTTACCTTCTTTCTGCCATACTGGGACAATAGCTATACCAAAGAGTATGAGAGGGCAGGCTTAGCAAGAGTGCAGCAAGCCAGAGCTGCAGATAAAAGCCCTGTTCTGCCAGACCCTCTGCAAGGTGTCACAGGGGAAGGAGGCAGGAGCCTCCAGTGCATTACTGACAAATTGGAAGCCATGATCTGACAGGCAAGCAACAGGAGTTGGGGGGAGACCAGATTCATCCAGGATCTTTCTCGTGCTGATGTAACACCCTTTTCATGCTTCTTTTTTCAGACTTCCTTCCTACAAAAGCGATACTTGCTTATTTATGTGTGCGCATCTTCACTTTCCTGCATTCCCTTTTCCTCTTGTGAACTGACTGGTTAATTAGAATCAAATCAGACACCTGATCTCAAAACTAATCTCCTCAGAAACTGGGAGAAAAATCATCAGCTAAAGAGACAAGTTCAAGCAGCACCCACAGGGATGAAGTGAAAGCAACTGCGTGCAGCAACATCTGTCCTGCTGCAGAGCTCGCTGAGCATTGAGCATACATGGCCCTCAATCCTGGCATGGCACTTACTGCCCTCTGCCTGTCTGGAAGCAGGAGGACACACATAGAAGAGGGAGGAAGAGAGGCAATAATGGTGTGATGAAGCCAAATTCTAGAAAACCTGGTGTCCCTAGCTCTGCTGCACACTGAGAAAGTTGTATGGTTTTTATTCCAGGTCGACCAGACACAACATGCCATGCATTTGTTGGAGAAACTGTTGTTTTGCCTTGCATCACCACCTCTCCTGGAAAGCTGACCCTCTCCAATTCAATGCTGTTCTGGCAGATAGAGGCTGACGATCCTCAGCACACCATTGTAGTGCACTTTGTTCTCAATGAGCAGGATTTGCCGCAGTTCCAGAATGACAATTACCATGGCAGAACTAGCCTTTTTTTTGACCAGATGAAGCATGGCAACTTTTCCTTAAAGCTCTCCAATGTTAAATTACTGGACACAGCTGTATATAGTTGCATCTACAAACAGACGGGGGATCATGCCGACAAAACACAGAAATCTAATGTTAAACTCATTGTATCAGGTAAGATTTTTCTTATAGTTCCGTGGGAGGGGCTCGGGGGCAGCATTTCTTGTTGACAACCTATGTATGGCCGTCAGGTGGGATGACTTCAATTTTTAAAGCAGATCTTCACTGTTTCATTCTGTTCCTTGCTTTTGTTGGAAGAATAACTGGGAAGAAAATAAATGCATCTTTGTTAAGCTTCAGCACAGCGTATCGATGGAAGCAGCAGGACTCCTGAAGGCAAGCCACCTGCCTCTTCCTCCTCCCTTCACAGGAGACATTAATGAATAATGAGGTCTCCCCAACTTTTAAGCATTTGGTTATTTATGGCTTTGTACTGTCATGGATCCGCCTTGTCCCAGAGGAACAGGAGAGTATTTCATTGTTTGCACTTGGGTCTGTGAAGCCATATTAGTTTTGTCTCTGGTAATGAAATCCAAAGTCCAGCCCATACACCCTTTCTGACATCAGACAGACAGTTGCTGTTCACCTTTTCCCTTGTACCTGGAAGATCTGGATCTGGTGGCAACACTGGACACATGCAACAAGAATTATTTTTCTTCCTTAGGAAAATGAGTGAGACTGTAACACATGCTCAAATAGCGCCAAACAACAGAGCTAAGACGGTTGAACTACCCACAAGCATGGCCAGCAGAATGATGGGGCTTTAGGTTTGACCAGTTGACAGATCGAAAAAGCAAATTTTAAAAAGGGGATGCACATCAAACTAATCATAGTTTTTTAAGGTGTCTTGGTTGTATAAATCAGCAGAAAACTTCAGCTTTGGTCAACTGCAAACATTTAATTCCACTTAAAATAGAAAAAGATGTTTCGAGTAATAGAAACCCTTCAGTATCTTTGTTTTAATGCACGTCGTTCTCAAGAGAAAAATATTTCTAAAATGTGAAGTAAAATACTTTTGTTCAGAAAATTTCAAAGTGAAACATTTTGCAGTTTTCAAAATGAAAAAAGTGTTTTGAAAATGGAGAATCAAAATCTTTTTTATCATCTGATTTTTGGCAACAGTACGGTGTCTTTTACTCTGATTTAATTATGTGATCATATTTAAACATTCAGTAAGTTTGACAAATATATTCTTTCTCAGAAAAAAAATTACTAACCCTTAGATCAATTATCAGCCCCCTTTTCCTGTTCCAGCCTCAAAACACATAACTTTGATTTTTGTGGTTTTTTTTCCAGCTCCTTCTATCACTGAGGAGGCTCCTTCCCCCTCTGGTAAGGCAATACTCTTT